CCCCACAGCGCAGCAGAGTGTGAGAATGCGTTACAGTAAATCCCCACGGCCCAGCAGACAATGTTGCAATAAATGTTCACACCCCAACAGAGTGAGAATCAACTATTGTATCACTACACTATGTGATGTTATTAACCCAGTACTGTACCTCAGAGATATGTTGTTCTTTTCTGTTCTTGATAAGGTCGTACTGCTCTCTGTACACTCGTTGTAAGTCTGCCTGCAGTTTATCCCTGAGCTCACTGACCCGGTCAGTTACTGCCCCACTGCATGATATGCTGGTGACACTTGGAGATTCCCCGCAGAGCACACTATCCTGGATATTGCCAAGACTCCTGTAACAGCAAAAGACCCACATAACCACAGCCTCTTGCTTACTTCGAGAACACTTCACAAATCTGAACCAGACTTCAAACAACCAAATGTGTGAATATAAAATGCAATTATCAAGGCAAGATATGGTCCAGGGGAGACGGATGAGGTATTGTACATCCGAGAGGGTGGGGAATTGGATGGGGTACAGTGTGTGTGAGGGTGGGGGGGCTGGATGGGGTACAGTGTGTGTGTGAGGGTGGGGGGCTGGATGGGGTACAGTGTGTGTGTGATGGTGGGGAGCTGGATGGGGTACAGTGTGTGTGTGTGAGGGTGGGGAGCTGGATGGGGTACAGTGTGTGTGTGAGGGTGGGGAGCTGGATGGGGTACAGTGTGTGTGAGGGTGGGAAGTTGGATGAGGTGCAGTGTATGTGAGGGTGGGGAGTTGGATGAGGTGCAGGGTGTGTGAGGGTGGGGAGCTGGATGGGGTGCAGGGTGTGTGAGGGTGGGGAGCTGGATGGGGTACAGGGTGTGTGAGGGTGGGGAGCTGGATGGGGTACAGGGTGTGTGAGGGTGGGGAGGTGGATGGGGTCCAGGGGTTGTGAGGGTGGGGAGTTGGATGTGTTACGGTGAGGACTTTCCATGTTTACCATTTTTTCTTGTGTCCTTTGCTATCGCTGGAATTTTTCCGACGAAGCTCTGTGAAGCTGCTGGAATATTTCTGTATCAGATCATCTTTCTTCTTCTGTGTCTTCCTCTCGAGTTCTTTCATCTCCTTCTCCTGTTTCTTCTGCACTTTGAGAAAGGCCTTCTGCATCTTTAGTTCGTCGATAGTCAGAGGCTCCATCTCTGCAACAAGGAGATCCTTTCAATGAACTGGAAAAGCCCAGCAGCAGGTCCCCAGGGTGAGTACGTGTGGGGAATGAACTGCAGAGTGAGACAGGAGGAGCTGTTCTGATCGCTGAGCCTGGCCTTGGAACAGAATCTGGGAATTCAATGGGATACAGTGTGCGTGTGAGAGAGTGAGGAATTGGATGGGATACAGTGTGCGTGTGAGAGGGTGAGGATTTGGATGAGATACAGTGTGCGTGTGAGAGGGTGAAGAGGTGATAGAGTACGTGAGAGATTGGAAAGTGGAATAGATCTTGTGGAATGTACTGTGCATTATGTATGTTGTGGATACACGTTGCGGATGGTGTAGTTTGTTCATTTTGAAGCAGTAACTGCTGCCTCTGACCCTTCTTGCTGTCTGTCTGCGGGACAAACCAATTAAAACCTTCAGTCTGGCAGATGCTTCATATCTTCAGGAACCTTATGCGCACTAAGTGAATCCATTAAATCCATTGCAGACTTAAACTACTGCTGGATGCTCAGTGGGCTGAGTTTAACCCTTTCAACTCATGGGTCTGGGTCAAAGTAGAGGTTAAAAAGATGTGAAAAATCTTCATCAGAAGCCCTAGCCCCCTCAAACTTACCAAACACGGCTTTTCGTGGGGGAAGGACAGGGGAGTGATTGAGCCATGCAATCTGAGGGGTCTGGTCAGTCAGGTGGAATCTTTTAATTAGGTTGCTTTATCATTCTTTAAACCCATGCTGACTGATTTCCCCGGCCTTAGGACACCTTAGTCGTTAAAGAATTCAGAAGAAGGCTGGAATCATGAGTCTTTGCAGCACTGCTTGTGGGCTGAGAAGAGCAAGAGTGTTGTAAATCCTGCTGTGATCTACCTGTAACTTCCCAAGTCTCTGTTTCCTTCCGAGCATCTTCTCCACTCCCCTGCCTCTCCACCCAAACACCATTCCAAATGCTGTCTCCCTGCCTGCAGTGACCTTCTACTATAGGTTATCCCCTCCAACCAACGGCTGTCGGGGGGAGGGGGGTGCGGGGGTGGTGCCAAGCTGACCCAAAACCAACAGAAGTCATTCTTGAGAATTTCTGAGTTTCTTCTCCATGACCCCCCCCCCGCCCCACACACGCGCGCAGCCCCGTAGACATCGTTAACACTGTCTTACCTGCAATGTCTTTGCAAGATTCCTCAAATCCAATACAGATTGGAATTTTGGAAGCTGGAAGAAATGCAGATAATCTGGTTACTGCAGTCTCAACATCACCCTTCTCCCCCACTTCCAGTATTTGTCTGTCTGACTGAGCAGAGTCATTGGACAACACCAGTGTGGTCTTTCTCTGAGTCAGTGATCAAGGGGCATGGCTCATAATTTGTTGGATATTCTCGTGCCAGTAATGTTGCAAACCCAGTTGGAATGGATAGTTCTGAAGAAGGGTCACCGGACCCGAAACATTAACTCTGATTTCTCTCCGTAGATGCTGCTAGACCTGCTGAGATTTTACAGCAATTTCTGTTTGTGTTTTGGAACGGACAGTGTTGCTTGTCTGCCCTCTCTGCTGACTTCTGTAGCTCCCTGCTTGCTTGCTCCCTCAGTTCCCTGGCCCCCTCGCCACTGGTTCTATCCTGCCATCCAGCTTCAGCTTCCCATCCAACAGCGTCAGCTATCATTCAGCAGATCACACTCCAGTCAAGAGGCTGTGTTTTCAAATGCCATAGGGATGGGGATGCTATCTTTCAGATGAGGTCTTGAGCAAAGACTCTGTATGCTCCCTCAGCTGGATGTCGAGGGTCGCACGGTACTGTCGGAAGAGGAACAGCAGATGACCTTGTCATTAGAGATAGTAGGAACTGCAGATGCTGGAGAATCTGAGATAACATGGTGTAGAGCTGGATGAACACAGCAGGTGGTGTGGGGGCAGGTGTAGCACTTCCTGCAGTTGCAGGGAAAAGTGCCGGGTGTGGTGGGGCTGGAGGGGAGTGTGGAGCGGACAAGGGAGTCCCGGAGAGAGTGATCCCTCCGGAAAGCAGATAAGGGTGGAGAGGGAAAAATGTCTTTGGTGGTGGGGCGGATTGCAGGTGGTGGAAGTGTCGGACGATAGGAATCCACACCACCTCCCTCACCCCCATCCCAGGCCCCAAGAAGACTTTCCACATCAAGCAGATGTTCACCTGCACATCTGCTAATGTGGTATACTGCATCCGCTGTACCCGGTGTGGCCTCCTCTACGTCGGGGAAACCAAGCGGAGGCTTGGGGATTGCTTTGCAGAACACCTACGCTCGGTTCGCAATAAACAACTGCACCTCCCAGTCGCGAACCATTTCAACTTCCCCTCCCATTCTTCAGACGACATGTCCATCCTGGGCCTCCTGCAGTGCCACAACGATGCCACCCGAAGGTTGCAGGAACAGCAACTCATATTCCGCTTGGGAACCCTGCAGCCCAATGGTATCAATGTGGATTTCACAAGCTTCAAAATCTCCCCTCCCCCTACCGCATCCCAAAACCAGCCCAGCTCGTCCCCGCCTCCCTAACCTGTTCTTCCTCCCATCTATCCCTTCCTCCCACCTCAAGCCCCACCCCCATCTCCTACCTACTAACCTCATCCCGCCCCCTTGACCTGTCTGTCCTCCCTGGACTGACCTATCCCCTCCCTACCTCCCCACCTACACTCACCTTTACCGGCTCCATCCCCGCCTCTTTGACCTGTCTGTTTCCTCTCCACCTATCCTCTCCTCTATCTATCTTCTATCCACCTCCCCCTCTCTCCCTATTTATTTCAGAACCCCCTTCCCCTCCCCCATTTCTGATGAAGGGTCTAGGCCCGAAACGTCAGCCTTCCTGCTCTTATGCTGCTTGACCTTGTCATTGTCAGCTGGCTAGTTGTGGGATCTCACTGTGCACAGTCTGTCCATTTTACTACATTGCAACAGTTGACAGCACTTTGAAAAGTGCACTTTGCTGGCTGTGAAACGCTATAGGGCGTCCTGAGGCGCTACCCGAATGCAAATCCCTTTCCGAAACGGCCTCGAAACGTTTCCTTCTGACCTGTTACTTCACGAGGGCTTGGAGGCAGTGTCCTATCACATCTACCCCCACTCCCCCCCCACTTACAGGAAATCAGCTCCTCATCACTCACCTCCACAACTACATTTCACAGACAAGACTCTCCCTGGACCAATATACTTGCCTGCTCTTGATTAACAGTTTTGTGCTGAAATATTCCCTCAATTGAATGCATGCAGTTGGAAGAGAGGAAAGGGGTGGCAGGCTGGGATGGATGGTAACTGCTCTGCCTAGGACCGTAAGAAACAACAGAGTTGTGAACACAGCCCAGTCCTTCACGAGAGCCAACCTTCCATCCACTGACTCCATCTCTCCTTCTCCTGCCTCAGGAAGGCAGCCAACATCATCAAAGGGCCGTCCCACCCCAGTTATAGTCTCTTCCAACCTCTTCCATCAGGCAGAAGATTCAAAAGCTTAAATACACATACCAACAGATTCAAGGACAGCTTCTTATGTGCTATTATAATTCTGAATGGACATCTCAAATTTTTTAATTTAATGTTGATCTCTCTCTCTTTGTGCACCTTCTCTACAGCTGTGACATTGTATTCCTCGCTCTGTTCTGTTACCCTAATGCACTTTGTCTGGTAGGATCTGCCTGTACCGCATGCAAAGCAAAAATTTTCGCTGTATGTAGGTACATGTGACAACAATAAATCAAATCAAATCAAATCAAATCAAAAGAAAGCAGAATAAGGTGGTGGGTTCCAAATTCTGGATTGTACCAGCTTACATCCTCAGAACATAGCAGAGCTACTCTCTCCTATCAATATCAGATCAATATCAGACTATTAATGTTGATGTTTATTTATTTACTACCTGGCCCATTAGTGTCTGGAGCTCCGTTGCTACTGTCTGGTATTTGTGTATTGTCCGTGACGACCTGCAAAGAATAGACAAGAGGGACTTATGTTCCATATAGTCCAATGTCAACAACATTGAGCTCTCTCAAACCAGGCTACACAGAAATGGTATATTTCAATATTTAAGGAATCTGTACATTACAACCTGGCATTGGTGGGAGCTGTATATTGGTTTGGAGAAACATAGTTGTGCATAATGCAGTAGCTGGCTTGCCATCTTCATGTGACTCCTACCCATGCTGTAACTTGTTTTCATTTTTCAGAGCAGTGGTAGTGTCCCTACCCCTGAACAAGGAGACCCAGGTTCAAATCTCAACTGCCCCCCCCCCTCCCCCAAGGGGTGTTATAAAGTCTCTGAACAGGTTGATTAGAAAATATCTAAAATAGAATTGAACCCATAGTCCACAATTTTGATATGCTGGGTGAGTCAATCGCTGTGCAGTTTCCATTCCCTGCTGCTATGGAAATGAAAAGAGATATGAGACAGAATTTGAACGTGTCTCATTCTCAGAGGCAGAGATATGAAATAGCTACAGCAGTGAATGAAAAGACTGAATTAATAAGGGTGACAATCCTGTTGGTGACAAAGTAGTACAAGCTGTTTTGCAAACTGAACCTCTCTGATGATCAGAGATCCCAAGCACGAGAGATCATGGAGAGATCATGAAGAAATGCATTGAACCTTCTATTAGTGGAACTTATGAACTTATGAATGGTATATATTCAACATCAGAGTTTGGTGGCAGGGGGTGGAGGTTGGGGGTGAAAGAGAATATTGATCAGCATGTGATGGCACTGATAAATCAAGCTGAAACCTGAGAGTTTGGACAACTGAAAGGTGATTTAATCAGAGATAGGATATTCTTAGGCATAAGAACCCTGCTGTGAGAGTAAATCTGCTGAGAGAAGAGAAACACAATCTCAAGAAAGCTAGCTTAATGTATTGTACCAATGAGGTTTCCAGTCATCAGCTGGAACGTATTAGTGAGAGAACCAAAAAGGCTTGCCTTAATCTGAGAGAGATTCCAGGCCAAATGAAAGCAACATGGTAGAGGGGTCTGTATATTACAGTCTGCTGATGAAATGGTCAGTGTATTACAGTCCAATATTAAATGCATTAATATTACTGAGAGGGGAGTAGATCTCATGGCAACCATCATTAGCTCGCTTTTATTATATCACATTAGAATTGGATTGATCTCTCGCTCCCTAACAAGTTCTCTGATCAATGAATACCCATCCCAGAGACAACACACAATGTATCCTGCCCAAAGCTACCACTGAACCCTCACTAACAACTTATCACTCCCTGTTTCCCCTGTTATCCTCCTATATCCAACTGTTTCCCAGTTTATATTTGTTCATGGCATGTGGGTGTCTGTAGGAGTGACTTCAGTCTCTGAGGCAAGAAGATTGTGAAGGCATCAGGAATTCAGCAGGAACAGCAGTTTATTCGAGTGTAATTGAATGCAGCAAGGAGAGGAACTCAAGATTGTCACACAGGATGATTGAGCTCACTCCTACAGTGTTGCTGGCTGGGCCAGTATTTATTGCCCATCCCTAGTTGCCCTTTGAGAAAATAGTGGTGAGCTCTCTTCTTGAGCCACAAATCTTTGGGGTTCAGGGACACCCCCGATGCTATTGGGTGGGGTGGTACGGTTTCCAGGATTTTGACCTAGTCACACTGAAGGAATGGCATTACATTTTCAAGTCAGAATGGAGGAAAACTTGCAGGGAGTGGGTTTCCCATGTATCTGCTGTCCTTGTCCTTCTGGGTGGGAAAAGTTGGAGGTTTCAAAGGAACTGTCTAAGGAACCTTGGTGAATATGTAGATGGTACACACTGCTGCTACTGAGCTTCAGTGGTGGAGGGAGTGGATATTAAACGTGGTAGATGGGGTGCCCATCTCATGCGCTGCTTTGTCCTGAACGGTATAGAACTTCCGAGTGTTATTGGAGGTGTGTTCATCCAGGCAAGAATTCCCAACCTCTGCCCTCCCCTGTAGCTACTGTATTTATATGGCAAGTCCAGTTCAATTTCTGGTCAATGGTAACCCCAAATAATTTGATAGCGGGGGATTCAGCAATAGTAACACGATTGAATGTGAAGGGGTGGTGGAAAAATTCCCTCTTGCTGGAGATGGTCATTGCCCAGCACTTTTGTAGAGAGAGTGTTATTTGCCATTGAGCAGCCAAACCCAGATATTGTCCAGAACTTAATGCAAGTGGACCGAAACCTGGCTATCAGTGTTACATTCCCCTGAGAATGCATCAGCCCCTTACATTTTCCAAAACAACATACTTGTTTGAGATGGGCATAGCCACAGGAGACTCCTGCTCTACCTGCCTACCCCCTCCTACCTTTCCTGGAGGTAACCCATCTACCTGACTTTATCTGAGGTTTTTCTCTCTTCCTGCAGATGTCACACCCACAGCCTTCTGTAAATTCCTCACTGCCTCCAACTGCTGCTCCAGCTAATCCATGTGATCCAATAGGATTCACAACCAAACACACTTCCTGCAGACATAATTATCAGTAACATGGAAACTCTTCCCTAATCTCCCACATCCGACAGGAAGAGCAATCATTCTACTAAAGGCCATCTTTGTTTGCTAATGATCTACAGTCCCAGAAAATAGCACAGTCTTACTGCTCTAAAAAGACTGCTCCAGGCTAACTTACTACCTATGTTTTATATTTTCAAAGTTTAATCAAGAGACAGATCGCAATAAAAGCATATAATCAAAAAAAAACCTACTTTACTCACTATTGTAGCTTTACAAAAGAACAGTAAGGTTATGCTTTAAAAACTAGCCACTTAGCTGCTTCCCTGCTGTGAGCTCCTCTACACAGGTTTCTCCAAGGTCCTTGAAAGTGGAGTAGACAGGATTGTGAAGAAGGCATTTGATATACTTGCCTTTATTGGGCAGTGCATTCAGTATAGGATTTGGGAGTCATGTTGTGACTCTACAGGACATTGATCAAGCCACTTTTGGAATACTGCATGCAATTCTAGTCTCCCTGCTATACCTTGAAACTTGAAAGGGTTCAGAAAAGATTTACAAGGATGTTGCCAGGGTTGGAGGGTTTGAGGTATAGGGAGAAACTGAGTAGGCTGTGGCTATTTTCCCTGGAGAGTCGGACGCTGAGGGGGTGACCTTATAGAGGTTTATAAAATCATGAGGGGCATGGATAAGGTAAATAGGCAAGGTCTTTTCTCCAGTGTGGGGAATGCAAAACTAGAGGGCATAGGTTTAAGGTGAGAGGGGAAGATTTAAAAGGGACCTAAGGGGCAACTTTTTCATGCAGAGGGAGGTGCATGTGTGGAATGAGCTGCCAGAGGAAGTGGTGGAGGCTGGTACAATTACAACATTTAAAAGGCATCTGGATGGGTATATGAATAGGAATGGTTCAGAGGAATATGGGCCAAATGCTGGCAAATGGGACTAGATTAAATTAATGTATCTGGTTAGCATGGATGAGTTGGACTGAAGGGTCTGCTTCCATGCTGTATAGCTCTATGACTGGTTATTATCTCTCTACCTTAACTAGTTTGTACAGTTTTGGATTACTTGTTACTTTGGTTAGATCCTTGTCATGCGACTCTTATACCATGTTATTCCAGCCATTTGGTTTGTCTCTAGCACCATTCCACTTTTTATTATTAATCAGATCATAGGTCATTCCTTCACTTGCTATTCAGCTATTGACACATTTGACACTTTTGATCACCAGCAAAGGCTTATTATTCAGCCTGTCAACACTCCCCTCACACCATTTGTATTTATCTTTTGACACTCTTAATTACCTGGAACTATCTTACCTTCACCTCTCTGCATAAAAGTCCTGTGCCTGTGTGTTTCCCTGCACTTTACCTGATGAAGGAGCAGCACCTTGAAAGCTTATGATTTCAAATAAACCTGTTGGACTATAACCTGGTGTCATGTGATTTCTGACTTTGTCCACCCCAGTCCAACACCGGCACATCCATAACATCAGCTCTATGACATAAAATGTTTCAGAATTATCCACCCCATTTCTTACTCTTACCCCTGTTTACCCCCCATCTTTCACCTATTGTCCCTGCCTGTCACTCTTAATCCTCTCCTCTCACCATTAACACTATTAACCCCCATTTCTCATTATTACCACCATTATCCCCTTTTCTCAAAATTTTCTCAAAACTTCTATTAACTATATCTCTCAACAATATCTCTATTAACCCTACCTCCGAACATGATCACTCTTACACTCATGTCTCATCATTACCCCCATCTTAGTGTTACCCCAATACTCGTCTCTCACTGTTGCCTCCAGTACACCTGTCTCTCAGCTTTACCCCATTAGCTCCATTTCTCACCATTAGCCCTTTTACCCCAATCTGTCATCATTGCATCTATCAACCCTGTCTCACACTATTACTCTGGTCTCTAACTGCAAACCTTATTACTTACGTCCCTCACCATTACCCCTAATACTTCTGTCTCTCAATACTACTTTTTCTCACCATTGCCCCTGTTGGTTCGCTCTCTCGCTGTTACCTCATTACCTTTCTTCTTGCCATTACCCCCATCTCTCACCATTGTCCCCATCTTTACCATTACCTCTATTACCCCTAATATCCCCATCCCTCATCATTGTGCCCAATACCTCCATCTTGCCCACCAATACTCATCATGCTCATGTCTCTCACAATTAGACCCATTACCCCTAATAGCCCCCATCTCTCACCATTACTGTATTAACCCCATTTCCCAGCTCTAACTCGCCCCCGTCAACCTCCGAACCTTTGCCGTTCACTACCTGATCACAGGACTCTCTTGTCTCCTTTACGGGTGGCGTGTTCATTGAGCCGACAAATTCTATTGGGTCAATCAAAGCCTTTGTTAAATCTGCAAAGAGAAGCAGAGTATCAGCTGTTTCACCCTGGGATAGACAGCTCGGCGATAATTCGACCAAGAGGGCTTCCTTCGAAATACACCCTCACAAGAAACACCCTCTCAGTTTCTGCACTGTTTGGTCACAATCTCCAGATCCCTCCCATCCATTGAAGGGGCTCAAAACACACCCAGGACAGGGACAACACAGGGTCAGATACAGAGTGGAGTTCTCTCTAAATTGTCTCCATCAAACGCTCCGTGGACAGGGACAGAATGGTGTTAGATACAGAGTAAAGCTGTTTCTCCGTCATCTCCATTAATCACTTCCTGGACAAGTACAGCACAGGAGTAGATAGAGAGTAAAGCTCCCTCTACACTGGCCCCATCAAATACTCCCAGGACGGGACAGCACAGGGTCAGATACAGAGTAAAGTTCTCTTTACATGTCCCCATCAAATACTCCCAGGACAGGGACACAACAGGATTAGATACAGAGTAAAGCTGTTTCTACACCATCTCCATTAATCACACCCAGGACAGGTACAGCACAGGAGTAGATAGAGAGTAAAGCTCCCTCTGTACTATCTTATAAAACACTCCCAGGACAGGGACAGCACGGGGTTAGATAGGGATTGGAGTTCCTTTATGTTGAGTGATTGGGGTGGAGGATTAAGCTCAATACCTGATATTAGATCATACCTGCCCAAGTGTCAGGCACAAAGTCCTTCACTTCGATACGGACAAACAGAGCTGGCATGGTGAGTGGCTGGTTCGTCTCACTCCGAAGATTAATGTGGCGATATCCTGCAGCATAATAAAGCACGTCTCAATCAGTAATACCTTCGTACATGAGTGGAATGTAGAATGAAGTATGACCTTGAGGGGTGGCAGCAAGGTATCAGAGGTGAAGGAGTTAGATAAATAAGATAGCAATGTAGATTCATCAACGGTCACAGCATGGGAGGAAGCTATTCAGCCCATCATGTCCATTCCAGTCAACAAACGTCTGACTATACTCATCCTAGTTTCTTGCTTTTGGTCTCTAGACCCGGAAGCTACAGCAATGCAAGTGAGTATTAAATATTGCGTAAATGAAGTGAGAATGTCTGACTGGACTACCCTTTTGGGCAGAGAGTTCCAGACACCCACCACCCTTTGGGTGAAAAGATTTCTCCCCAACTTTTTACCTTAAATCTACACCCCTGGTTATTGAATCCTCTACTAATAACGCCTTCCTGTCCACCCTATCCATGCCCTCATAATCCTATTCACCTCTATCAGGCCCCTTCCTCAACCTCAAGGAACCAGCCTATCAAATATTTCTTCATAGCTCAGACGCTCCTGGCCAGGCATTATTCTGATAAACAATCGCTCTGGATCCATCGTATCCTCCCGAGAATGTGGTGACCATATCGGAATACAGTACTCTAGCTGTGATCTAACCAGTGTTTCATAACAACCTTGCTCCTCTTATTCTCTGCCTCTGTTAATAAAGGTAGGGATCTAGTACTCTTAACATCTTATCTCCCTGCTCCGTTATCTTCAGGGACCTGTAGATACGTACACCAAGCTCCCTCTAATCTTCAGTACTTTCCACGGTCTATTCGCTGTGTAATCTCTTGAGTTGTCAGCCCTGACCAAGTGAATTGCCTCATATTTCTCCAGATTACATTCCATTTGTCACTGCTCTGCCCTCCTAACCTCTGCCATCAATCACCCTCTGCCTCCCGCCTTTCAGGCAGTTTTGGATTCAGCGTGTCACTTTGTCTTGGATCCCATGGGCTCTCACCAGTCTGCCATGAAGGACCTTATAAAAGCCTTGCTAAAGTCCTGGTGGCTCAGTGCTTAACACTGCTGCCTCACAGCGCCAGGGACCCGGATTCAATTCCACCCTTGGGTCTGCGTGGAGTTTGCACGTTCTCCCATTGTCTGCATAGGTTTTCTCCGGGTGCTCCGGTTTCCTCCCACAGTACAAAGATACGCAAGTTAGGTGGATTGGCCTTGCTAAATTGCCCCATAGTTTTCACGGATCTGTAGCTTGGGTAGGTTAGCCATTGTATGTGCAGGGTAATAAGATAGGTTAGGGACGTGGGTCTGGGTGGGATGCTCTTCGGAGAATTGGTGTGGACTTGATGGGCCGAATGGCTTCTTCCATGCTGTGGGGATTCTATGTAGACCACTTTAAATGCATTACCCTTGTCAACATTCCTGGTTACCTCCTCAAAAAATGTGATCAAATTTGTCAAACACGAGCTTCCCCCAACAAATACGTGTTCACTATCTGTGTCTCTCCCAATGAAAATAAAATCTGTCCTTCAGAAAGTCTTTCCAATAACTTCTCCACTGCTGACATTCTGACTGGCCTCAAATTTACTGGTCTATCCCTTCCTACCATTTTTTATAATGGAACGATGTTAGCAGTCCTCCAGTCCTCTGATATCTCACTTGTGGCTTGAGGATTTGAAAATTGCTGCCACTGTTTCTGATATCTCCTCCCTTGCCTCCCTCCAAAGAATGTGTCTCATTTGTGCTGGGGTTTATCCACTTCTGAGGTTGTTAAACTGGCTAGGACCACCTCTCGCTGGATCATTTCATCCAATATTTCACAGTCCTCCACCGTGATGTCTATAACTGAGTCATCCTTTTCCATTGTGAAGACTGACACAAAGTATTCATTGACCATGCACATATCTTCCAGGTCCAAACACAGATTACTTCTATGATCTCTAATGTGACCTACCTGTTTCCAGGTTACTCTTTTGCTTTTTATCTTTTATTCTCCTCTCTCCAACACCCATGTTTCTCATGCACCTTCCTAGCTGTCCTAATGCCCTATTTAAGTAACCCCCCCCCCACATTACTTTTTGTACTCCTCCAAGGAACCTGCTGATTTGAGCCATCTGTATCTGCCATAAACCTCTTTTTTTCCCATAAGTGTGACCTTTGACCCTTGGTACCCACTATGCTTGGTCTTGGCCTCATCCCTTCTCTTTACGGGAATATATTTGCCCTGTACTCTTTGCTATTTCCTCCTTGAATGCCTGCCACTACTCTGTTCTGACCCAAAACGTCAGCTTTACTGCTCCTCTGATGCTGCCTGGCCTGCTGTGTTCCTCCTCCAGCTCCGCACTGTATTGTCTCTAACTCCAGCATCTGCAGTTCTTGCTATCTTTATCTGCAAGTAGCTGGTCCCAGTCCACTTGGGCTAAGTCGTATCTTATCTTAGTGAAATTGACCTTTTTCATTGTTCAGGAGTGCAGAGTGTGTCCCTGTGATGTGTTTCAGGGCTATGGGTATAGTCCCTAAAAAGTTGTTGTGTGTACATGTTATGTCTCCGGAATATGGTTATAGAATATGGAATCTGACGATGTGATGTAGTTCAGGGATGTGGGATATGTCCATTATGTCCATTCCAATACTCTAGGATATGTCAATGTAACATTGTTCAGGAGTGTGGGATATTTCGGTGTAACATGGTTGCGGAGTGTGGGATATTTCAGTGTAACATGGTTGCGAAGTGTGGGATATTTGGGTGTAACGTGGTTTCAGAGTGTTGGATATGTTGGTTAATGTGGTTCTGGAGTGTGGGATATGGCTGTGAAATATGATTCCAGAGTGTGAGATATGTCTGTAAAATGCGGTTCTTGAGTGTGGAATGTCAATGTAATGTGGTTCCACAGTGTGGGATATGTCAGTGTAATGTGGTTCTGGAACATGGGATATATTGGTGTAACATAATTCCAGAGTGTGGGATATGTCGGTGTAATGTGGTTCCAGAATGTGGGATATTTCAGTGTAATATGATTCCAGAGTGTGGGAATATGTCCGTAAAATGTGGTTAGAGTATGGGATGTCAATGTAATGTGGTTCCAGAGTGTGGGGTATGTCGCTGTAACTGGTTCCAGAGTGTGGAATATGTCAATTTACTGTGATTCCTCAGTGTGGGATATGTCAGTGTAACATGGTTCCAGAGTGTGGAATATGTTGGTGAAATGTGGTTCCGGAGTATGGGATATGAGAGTGTGATGTGGTTAAGAAGCGCAGGATATCTCAGTGTAATGTGGCCCGGGTCCTGGGACATGTCTGTATATTGTTCTGACAGGCAGGAGATTTGACTGCCCCATACCACATTGTGCCAAGCAGCACTGCCTGGGATACCTGTTTGGAGAGCAGTAACTGGAAGTATCCTGTGTCCAACGAATTTCCCGTTATCTTCAAATGTGGCGATTCTTACATAAGCCATCTCTGGGACGAGGATCTGCAAGTCAGGAAATAACAAAATAAATGGCAGCTGCTGGGCGGATATGCAACATGACCATGGCACTGTGGCACGGGAAGCCATTCAGTGGGGGCAACAAGAGGGAATGTAGGAGGAAGGGTCACCGGACCCGAAACGTTAACTCTGTTTTCTCCTTCACAGATGCTGCCAGACCTGCTGAGGTGCTCCCTCAAGGAGCTCGAACAGTTCATCCACTTCACCAATACCTTCCACCCCAACCTTAAGTTCATCTGGACCATCTCTGATACCTCTCTCTCCTTCCTGGACCTCTCTGTTTCCATCTCTGGCAACCACCTGGAAACCGATATCCATTTCAAGCCCACCAGCTCCCACAGCTACATAGAATACACCTCCTCCCACCCACCTTCCTGCAAAAATGCCATCCCCTATTCCCAATTCCTTCGCCTCCGCCGCATCTGCTCCCAGGATGAGACATTCCACTCCCGAACATCTCAGATGTCCTCGTTTTTCAAGGACCGCAACTTCCCCCACCTCAGTGGTCGAGAACGCCCTCGACTGTGTCTCCCACATTTCTTGCAACGCATCCCTCACACCCCCTCCCCGCAATAACAACCAAAACAGAATCCCCCTCGTTCTCACGTACCACCCCACCAACCTCTGGATCCAACGCATCATCCTTTGACACTTCCGCCATCTGCAATCCGACCCCACCACCAAAGACATTTTTCCCTCCCCACCCTTATCTGCTTTCCGGAGGGACCACTCTCTCCGGGACTCCCTTGTCCGGTCCACACTCCCCTCCAGCTCCACCACACCCGGCACTTTTCCCTGCAACCGCAGGAAGTGCTACACCTGCCCCTACACCTCCCCCCTCACCCCCATCCCAGGCCCCAAGAAGACTTTCCACATCACAGATGTCACCTGCACATCTGCTAACGTGGTATACTGTATCCGCTGTTCCCGTTGTGGCCTCCTCTACATCGGGGAAACCAAGCGGAGGCTTGGGGACCGCTTTGCAGAACCCTACACTATGTTCGCACTAAACAACTGCATCTCCCAATCGCGCACCATTTCAACTCCCCCTCCCATTCCTCAGACAACGTGTCCATCCTGGGCCTCCTGCAGTGCCACAACGATGCTACCCGAAGGTTGCAGGAACAGCAACTCATATTCCGCTTGGGAACCCTGCGGCCCAATGGTATCGATGTGGACTTCACAAGCTTCAAAATGTCCAAAATCTCCCCTCCCGCTACCGCATCCCAAAACCAGCCCAGCTCGTCCCTGCCTCCCTAACCTGTCCTTCCTCCCACCTATCCCCTTCTCCCACCCTAAGCCCCCCCCCCCTCTCCTACCCACTAACCTCCTCCCCCCCCCCCCCCCCCCGACCTGTCCGTCCTCTCTGGACTGACCTATCCCCTCCCTAACTCCCCACCTACACTCACCTTTACTGGCTCCATCCCCGCCTCTTTGACCTGTCTGTCTCCTCTCCACCTATCTTCTCCTCTATCCGCCTCCCCCTCTCTCCCTATTTATTGCAGAACCCCCTTCCCCTCCCCCATTTCTGAAGAAGGGTCTAGGCCCGAAACGTCAGCCTTCCTGCTCCGCTGATGCTGCTTAGCCTGCTGTGTTCATCCAGCTCTATACCTTGTTATCTGAGCTTTTCCAGCAACTTTGTTTTTGTTGTTGAAGAGGGAATGTAGTATGGGATAGTGTTACTGAGGGGGAATGATATAACTTGCAAAAGGTATAACTCGATTTAAAACTAAATAGTGGGGCGAGGGATAAAATGTGGAAAGCTGTGGTATATCCAAGAGTCAGAGAAAGAGAATGAAACAGTAGTATGGGAAATGAGGATCAGAGAATGACAGGAATGGACAAAGAGAAAAAATACTTAGGAATACACCAACAGTCAAGACTAGATATCAGAAAGGTAATGAAAAGACTAAACTGGAGGCACTGCATCTGAATGTATTAGCATTCAGAGCAAATTAAATAATTTGGTAGCACACACTGAAGTGAAAGTAGCACGATGTTATAGCCAGTACAGAGACACGGCTGCAGGACGAGAAGGAGTGGGTCCTGAATGTTATGGGGTATATGTCATTCAAAAGGAATAAGAAGGCAAGGATGGAGGGGTAGCACTTTTAATACAGGATGGCATTTGTGCAATAGCGATGACTTTGTTTCAGGAGATCAGACTGTAGAATCAGTTTAAATGGAAGTGAGAAATACTACGAGAAATAGATCATGAGTGGGATTGAGCTCCTAACAGGAGCCAAAATATGCCAGAAAAAGAATTGACTGCTTGTGACAGATGGCAGTAATCATGACCGATTTTAATCTGCATACAGACCCGAAAAATCGGCTTGGCTTTGAGATAGATCCTTAGAGCAGCGTGTTTCATATATTAGACTTAGTACAGTATAATGTGACAGGATTAATTAATAAACTCAAAGTTAAGATGCCTTAAGGTAAGAGTGACCATATTATGATTGAATTTTGCCACCAGTTTGAAAGGGAGAAGATTGGGTCTGAGTCGTCTTTTTTAAACCCAAATAAGGCCATGAAAACTGAGCTACCTAAACTGTAAAACTATGACAGAGGATACATAAATAGAGATAGGTATTTAAGGGTATATTGCAGAATACTCAATAAATAAATTCCAACCATAAAGAAAAATCCTAAAGTAAGGACCCACCATCCATGGTTAAAGAAGTTAATCAAATTTAAGGAAAAAAAAACATTAACAGCACAAAGATGAGTGACAAGTTGGATGATTGATCAGAAAGGAAAGAATGGCAGAGAATAACTAGAAGAAATTAGAGCATGAGAGAAAGCTAGCTAGAAATGAAAATAAAGGAAAGCTGGAGTTTCTACAGGTATTTGAAAAGGAAACGAGTAAGTGAATTTTCATACTCCAGAGAATGGGAATGGGCCGTTAATGGTGAGTAATAAGCAGACAGCTTATTACAAAAATTTACTTCTGTCTTCACTATAGAAGGTAACGAAAACATTCCAGTGAGAGCTGTAAATTAAGAAATGGAAGGGAGAGAGGAACTTAGTTAAATTACCAGCACTAGGGGGGCAGTTCTGAGCAAACTGAAGGAGCTAGGTGCTGTTAGGTCCTGGGTTTCGATGGACTTCATCCTAGAGCTAGAAAAGAGCTGGTTAATGAGGTCATCGATATATTGGTGCCAATTTTCCAAAATTTTCTGGATTCAGGAAAGATTCCAACTGCCTGGGAAGGAGCAAATATAACCCCTCTGTTCAAGAAGGGAGGGAGGCAGGACACAGGCAACTATAGGCCAGTTAGCTTGATGTATTTTGTGTGGAAGGTGTTTGAATTGATCATTAAAGTGATTATAACTGCACGCTTAGAAAATCTCAGATCATCGGGAAGAATCAGCACGGTTACATCAAAGGGAAATCATGTTTAACCACTTTTTAGAGTTCTTTGAAGGACCCAGGGGTCTGCACTGGGGTCTCAACCTTTTACAGTTTAAATCAATGACTTGGATGAGGCGAGTGAAGGCATGGCAGCTAATTTCAGAGGTAACACCAAGATAGGTAGGAAGGTATGCTGTGAAGGTAATACAAGGATTTTCCAGATGGATATGGACAGGTTGACCGAATGGGCAAAAATCTGGTAGATGGAGTGTAAAGTAGCAAGATGTGAAGTTGTTCACTTTTTGTTAGGAAGAATGAAAACGCAGCCTATGACTTAAATGGAGAACGACTGTAGATTCTGATGTACAGAGGGATTTTGGTGTTCTAGTGCATGAGTCACACAAAGTCAGTATGCAGGTACAGCGCGTAAACCAATTTTTATAGATGCACCACAGAAAGCGTTCTGTCTGGATGCATCACAGCTTGGCATGGCAGCTGCTCTGCCCAAGGACCGTAAGAAATTACAGAGTGTTGTGAACACAGCCCAGTCCATCACACAAGCCAACCTTCCATCCATTGACTCCACCTATACTTCTCCCCACCTCAGGAAGGCAGCCAACATCATCAAAGACCCCTCCTGTCCCGGTTATAATCTCTTCCAATCTCTTCCTTCAGGCAGGAAATACAAAAGCTTAAACACACAGATTGAAGAACAGCTTATTCCCAGTTGTTATCAGACTCCCGAATGGATCTCTCAAATTTAATGTTGACCTCCCTCTTTGTGCACCTTTTCTGCAGCCATAACATTATACTCCTCGCTCTGTTCTATTACCCCTATGCACTTTATATTGTATGATCTGTCTGTACTGCATGCAAAACAAACTTCTCCCAGCACCTGGGTACATGCGACAATAATAAATCAAATCAAATCAAGAAGCCTTAGGGGATGCTCTCCTTTATGACCCGAAGTATTGAACATAAAAATTCTATCTCCACCGAAATAATGTTAATGCATAATTGCAATGGATTCTCATTAAAGTTCTGCAATGTTATCTAGAGAAACATCTGAATCTTCAGAGGGCATCAATCTCCCACACAGAACTCCAATTAAGCCATCATACTCAAGAATGAATGAAACCATGGCAATAAACAAACACGTGTTTTCCTTAATGGTATTTTTTCCTCAGCAATGTTAACGCTTTACGCAATTGCCCCCTGACAGCCCAGGAACTCAGCTGGATGACAATTAGACTCTTAACCACAGGAGAATTACTGTGGATCATCCAAGAGGAGATTTGATAGAGGCATTCAAAATCATGAGGGGTCTGGCCAGCGTAGATAGTGAGATTGTTGAAGCAGAAGGTACATATTTATGGTAATTAGCAAAGCAAGCAATGGAGCCACAGGGAAAAACTTGGCATGTACTGAGTGGTGTAGTATCTGCAATGTACTACCTGAGGTAGGGTGGGGTATATCATGGACCCCATTCCTGGTTCCAGACCCCTTATTCCCCCCACCATCACCGTTATACCTCCTCCTCACCTCCTTCAGAATTGGAAACAAGAGGTCAATTCTCCCCAACCCCCAAAGGCTACCTTTTCGTTCCCACCAATTCATCCTTTTTGTCTCTGTGATGCCATCATATAGTAACAGCTCGTCCCGTGTTCATGTTGAATTTGGACTCGCACAGAAGGAGGATTATAATAGTACATCAAATTATTCCATAATTAGCAATTTTCCAATAAACTTAAAGCCACAGCACACAACTAAAGTATCAGTTTCCTAGATTCCATGGTCTTTAAATTGGCACCAGACAACAGGCACAAGTTAGCAAAAAAAACCTTTTTCATCAAAATAATTCTTACACTTCTACATGCAAAAGGTCATCACTCTAAACACAATTCGCATCGACTGATAAGGTCAGAGCTTATGTGTTTCCATCACATCATTGGAACATTTTAACCTGGTACTTAATACTCTTTCCACTGTATTGCAGATCTCAATATCAGATGTAAATCTGACAACTGATACAGCCCTATCATATAGTAACTCTTGAACATGTATATAGTTTTAATTGAGGAATTCCACAAGCAATTGCAAGGAATTCATTACTTCTTAGATTTCCAGCTTTCCTGGTTCCTGATTTACTGAGTATTCTTTTGTAAACAGGATTCTTTTTCAGCCTGTCTCTCCCCACCACCTCCCACCTTTGTCTTCAGCCTCGCAGTCTCCACCTCTCTCATGCTCACGCCCCTGCAATCTCCCTCCCTCTCCATGCTCAGCCTCCATCTCCTCTCACACATTCCTACAGCCTCCCCCTCCCCCAATATCTCTCCTCCCCAATCGCTGCAGCCAAGCCCCATCTCTCTTTCTCTCTCTACCCTGACTGCTCAAGCCTCTGCCTGCCTTTCTCACCAGCATCCCTTGCCCACACTCTCGCCCTTTCCCCTGAACTTTTCTAGCACTCTCCCTCCCATGCGACCCCTCCAGCCTTCCTCTATCTCATACGTACTCTCTCCCCACCTCTCTCTTTCTCTTTCTCCCTCTCTCTCCTGTTTTGTCTCTTCCTCTTTCCCATCTCCTCTCTCTCTCTTCTCCCCTTTCCTCTTTTCCCTCTCCCCTTTCTCTCCTCTTTTCTCTCTCGCTGTTTGTTCTCCTCTCCCTCCTGTTTTCTCTCATCCTTCTCCTCTCTCCCTCTTTCCCCACTCCTCTGTCTCTCTCTCTTCTCCTTTTTCTCTCTCTCCTCCCTCTCCTGTTCTCTCTGTTCTCCCTTCTCTCTCCTCTTTTCTCTCTTCCCTCTCCTCTCTCTCTCTTTCTCTCCTTTTGATTTACAGCGCCTCCAGCTTGGAGATGAATTTGGCCTTAGTGCCCTTGTGACTTGATGTAGCTAAGTGGGCAATGAGCCCAGTGCCCCTGGTGATTAGCCCCACATGCACCGTCCTTCCCAGGCCCTACGTGTGGGGGCAGTGCAGGACGGTCCAATTGTAGCATTCGAGAGGCAAGTGGACTGTTATCTGGAAAAGGAAGTATGTACAGGTCCACAGAGTAAGAACAGAGGAATGGCACTGGGTAAACTGCTATTTCATGACACAATGGAATCTAGTGGAGGTGTAAATGGCAATAGTGGAGTGGGCGCCAACAGCCGAGGCTGAAAATAACGGGAGCGATGGCAACAATCTGAAATTCCTGAACTCCCAAGTTGAGTCTGGAACATTACAACATGCTCAATGGAAAAATGAAGAGCCGATCCTAGACCTTACACTGAATCTCAGGAAGGATGAGCTACCCTTTTATAGCAGACAGCTACTGGTCGTCTCAAAGCATTGTCAGCCAATGACATACTTCTGGCCTGTAGTCACTGTTGCAATGTAGGAAATGAGGCAGGCAATTAGCACATAGCAAGCTCTAACCCACGAAGAGCAATGTGTTTGTATTTGGAGTGGGACTTGAAAGTGAAATGTCGCAAGGATAGTGTCACAGCTGTTCCTACCTTCATTAGGAACAGATGTTATGGACCAAACCAAACCCCCTCAAAATATATTAAGAAGCTAGGCCAGACCCTAACTTTTTCCTATTTAAAAGGCATGTACTGGGCATTGCATTCCAGACGCAATTTGATTGGTCAAACCACCAATCTTGAAGCAAAACACGCTTTATTCATACACTATAGCTAAAATACAATTCAAAAAAAAAAGAAATTGGAATAACAACTCTATCAAAACGTTTAACAAAATAATAGATATATTAAGCACTACCAATTAACCATTCCGATAGAGTAAGATCACATAAACACAAGCTTGGAAAAGGCAAGTTCAGTGAAAGAGATTGGCTCATGTGCAATTCTTGCAGCAGGAAGAGAATCCCCAGCTTTTAGCTGTAACAGAGAGAGGGAGAAACAGCTTCCACATCCAACTTCAAGATCCCAGCAAATGCCACTAAAAAACTAAAACTAAAAACCCTGGTTCAGTGGGAGCTTGACCCCACCCATTCAGACTGCTTCTATTGTGTCAACTCTTTAATTAAAAAAAAACCAAGGCCTCACAAGCTGTTTACATTAATGGATCCAAATAAACAGCTCTACATCTCTGTCTTAAGGCTTCTCTTCAAAAATAAAACCAGGACAAAATACTCCTCTTAAAGCCGTAGTATCATCACACAGTGTCAGAGGGTCAAGCACAGAATAAAAGAGGGAAGAGCCAGACAAACCAGAGCTCCAATGTGAAATGTGAGTCAAACTTGCAAACTTTACGTCCTTATTTAAAAAAGGATAAGCCCAGCAATTATACAGACCCCACATTGGTTTAATTTCAGTGGTAGGGAAGCTTCTCAAGGCAATGATTTGGGATCAGATTAATAGTCACATGGAAAGATATTATTTAACTCTCATGGATTTGTCAAAGGAAAGTCGAGTCGAACTAATTTGCTGGAGCTTTTTGAAGTAACAGAACAGACTGATGAGGGCAATGAGATTGATGTGGCGTAACACAGACTTGGAAAAGGCTTTCGGTACAGTGCCACGGAATAGAAAAGTTATGTGTGATGGAACAGAAGGGTCAGTAGCAACGCGAATACAAAATTGGCTGAGGGATAGGAAACAGAGAGTAACGGTCAATCGGTATTTTTTTTTGGCTGGAGAAAGGTTGAACCCTTGCTGTTCCTGACATATAAATAAATGATCTAGTTCTTGATGTGCATGGGACAGTTCCAGGGTTTGTGGAATGCAAAACTTGGAAGAGTTGTAAACTGTGAGGAGGACAGTGTGTAACTCCACAAGGTCATTGACAATTTGTGGACTGTGCAGATGGGTTTCAGTGCAGAGAAGTGGACAGACAGGTGCTGTTCAAGAGGGACTGCAGGAACACAGAGACGTGGCTGTAGATGTCCATATGCCATGGCAGGACAAGTAGAGAGAGCTGTTAATAAAGCATGCAGTATACTAAGCTTCATTAAGAGAGGAACTGAGTACAAGAGAAGGAGGTTATGCTGAAGGCAATAGCTAAAATTCACATGGAGCATTGTGTACAGTTCTGGATGCCATAGTATAAGAAGGATGTGAATACATCGGAAAGAAGAGGATTATGAGAATGATTGAGGATAAATTGAAGAAGTTCAGAATGTTTCCCTTGGAGAAGAGAAGGAATTAGAGATTTGATAGAAATTTTCCAAATCATGAGGGTACTGGATAAGGAGGAAATGTTCCCACTTCTCAAAGGATCAAGAAGTTGCGAGGGAGGGGGGGTGGGTAGGGACTCAGTTTTTAAAAGTGTTTTGCAAAAGAAACAAAGGTGGATATGAGAAAATACTTTTCCACACCGCGAACAGTGCCTGGAAATGCAGGTGAGGCGGGTTCAGTCCAGACATTGGAGAGTGATGACCATTCAAACAGAAACAGTGTGCAGGGATGTGGGGAAAAGGCAGGAGGTCACAATGCCGTCACAGACTGCTGCAGGCACGATGGGCCGAAGGCCCACCTTCCGCGCTGTAGGAACTCTGTGGCTCTGTACGCGCTTTCGCGGGTTCAGCTTGGTTTTCCTTCCCGAAACGGTGTCAAAATTTTGACAACCAGAAGCTCGGGGTAACTCTCAGAGACTGAGCGGAGGAGTTCCCGCGGAAGAGACCACCCTGTCGGCGATTGCCCTCCTCAGCGTGGAGGAGAGCACGTAGTGAGCGGCGAATGCCGGAGATTACATCGAAGGGACTCCAGCAAACCGGGAACTGGAGCTGGGAGGGCTCAGACCCTCAGGAGTGCACGGAGAAAGGTTGACGCCTCCTTGGTGGGAAACCAATGTGGGGAAGAGAGGGGGCATCGGGAGTGGGCCAGTACGTGACTAAGGAAAGCCAGGAGACCACAGTCCATCTGGGAATCCCTTGGGAACACCGGGAAGGGAGGGAAACATTCTGTTTGGTAGTGGCATCACACTGGAGGTGGTGCAAGTAGTGAAGGATGACTCTTTAGGCTGGGGTGCGGGGGGTGGGGTGTGGTTGGAGTTGAATACAAGGGAGATCCTATCAGGGAGAAAGGGAAGAGCAATGGTGTGGGGAAGGGGCTGATACAGTCAATGGCCACGTCACGCAGGATTGTAGGAAAGTTTACCTTCTCGAACACAAATGTTTCTTCATCCTTCCACTGGGGGTTAATAGAGTTCGGCTCAGTGCTGAGTTTTGTCCTGTACTTCTTCTTCGGGTCACCCGGAAGGCCCAGCAACTCCACTTCCACGAAGAATCTGGAGTTACGATCGGACAGGAACTGCCCCGAAATTACCTGCAGCAAGGGGACGACGGAGGTGACGCGGGGAACAGCAGCAGTAAGGCCGAAACACACCAACACATCGCACAGCTGGAAAGAGGTCTACCACAGAGCCCAGTGGCAGGGAGAGAACAGCAGAGGTTTAGACTCAGTATCCAACTGAAGGAGTGTTGGTGGTGCACTGACTGAGGACTGACTTCATCCCCATTCTCCAGGTACTAGCCACGGAGTTGCCAGTGTGCTCCAGGACTAAGAAAAAACCTCCTTTCAAAAGGGCATCGCTGGGCCACACAGTCAGACAACAGATGAAACAGGGAAGTACACCGTTCAATCAATCATCTCAGTGCCACTTACACACATGGGCAGCTGACAGAATGCCTAGGCCCTCACACTTTCCCAGCAAGGATACCATCCTATACCCCATATCCTGGACAAACACACAGCATGCCTTATGTATTAGTACAGTAGATGGCAACTAAAATCACATCTACTGTCTGGAGAATGGACAGACATTATATATCGAACAGGGACAGACGGCGTTGTATTGAACACAGGGACAGAGGGTGATGTATTGAACACAGGGACAGAGGGCGATGTATTGAACACAGGGACAGAGGGCGTTTTATTGAACACAGGGACAGAGGGCGATGTATTGAACACAGGGACAGAGGGCGATGTATTGAACACAGGGACAATTGGAACCAATGTAACCATTACCAAGATGGAGAGTGTGTTTGACACAACGACATCAATGCAATCAGTGGTGAAAGGGTCAAATGTCTTCTCCAGATGACGCAGAAGTTCATGTTTCAGGATATATCCGCTCCGTCCATTGAACTCAAAGTACGAGCTGTTCAACTGCATGGGCAAGTCTGGGGAGAGTCAGAGAACTAGGTCAGCCGAGCTCACTCACTCAACAGCTTCTGAGGATCTAATGGGTCTCATACAGGGGGTCATTTGTAACCTCTAAGCGGAGACTGGGGTTGGGGGGGAGCCGGATCCTGTGTCAAACTCAGAGTCAGGATCAGAGAATCCTGTATCAGATCCAGTGGTTCCTGTATCAAACCCAGAATCATTGTCAGAGGATCTTATATCAGATCCAGAGTCAGACTGGGGAAATCCTGTTTCAAACCCAGAGTCAGTTTCAGTGGATCCTGGGTTAGATCCAAAGTCAGTAGCAGAGATTCTAGTTTCAAACCCAAAGTGAGTATCAGCGGATCCTGCATTTGATCCAGTGGATCCTAACCTTTCATCAGTGTCATTCCTCAAATTAATGCCTGGGTAATCTCTCATTAATATTAGTGATTATAGTAATCGTTAATATGGCTATTAATCTCTTGTCCTTTTGTTTATCACTCATTACCAATCCCATTCACTAATCCCTTTCTCCTGAGTGATCTTTAGCCAATTAATCTGTTAACCTCTAATCTTGTGTTAATATGTGAATAATGATCTTGTTAATCCCCTTCATTTTATTGGCCAACACTGTTTGGTTAATTTCAAATTCACTATTTTGTTAATTCATCCCCAGTTCCAATCACTTCGCCATTGGTGTCCACACATCCAGCTCCATAGGCCCTGAGCTCTGGAATTGCCTCTTGACATGGCCCTGTCTCCCTGCCTCTCTTTCCTTCCTTAATATTGATTTAAAACCCACTGCTTTGGCCAAATGATCTGTCCCAATATATCTGCCAAAGTGTCAATTTTGGGACATTCTACAGCATTAAAGGTGCTGTACAAATACAAGTTGTTGCTGTCGATCTTGTCGTAACTTCTAGTGTCAGGCTTCATGTCTGACTGCAGGCCCAGGTCCCTGGGGCTGAGTTGAGCGTTTGTTGAAACAACTGAGCCTCTGAGTGAGTGAAGAACGGTTGGGTAGGGCCTAGGCAGGAGGTCAGTCCCTGCTCCTCCACTCACCTGCAGTCTGGAAGTTGAGAGCCACCATCTGACAGCCAGCATTCCAGAAGACCTGGGGCATGTAGTTGGAGGAATCTACCCGTGTCCCCTTGGGGTAGATGCGACTCATTTGCCTCTTGTTGTACCTGTTTAGGGTTGTATAGGAATTCGGAGCCCTGAGAAGCTGAAATACCCCTGGAGAGATGTAGTTGGGCCTTCGATGCCATCAGTCATGGTGGATGTATGCTCATTGTGGGGCGAGGGGCAGCGCATGCATTCAGGAGAGCATTGACCATTCGCTAAACTGAAAGGACACAGTGAGGGCGGAGGGACGAGGTGGCAGATATGGGTTTGACTGTCTCCTCAGTTTCTGTCCTGAAGCTTCAAAATGGGTCAGACGTGTTTGGGTTTGGGGCAGTTGTGTGAGTTAGTGATTGGCTGAACAAATAAGGAAGGGGATGTGTCATCCACTAGAGGGGGAAATGGGACACAGAGGATGGGGGGAGAAAAGGGATGGAGAGGAGCTGAATGACTAACAACGGGATGTAGGATCAAGGGGAAAAGAGAGGAGGTGAAAAGAGGGAGGAGGGGAAGGATGAGGGAAAGGGAGATTTGGGGGAAAAGGTGAACACCACTGATATTCCACGATCGGGTTTGATAAAGGGCAGGGGGTGATTGGTGGGAAAGGAACAGACAGTGGTAGATTATAATAAAGTCACCATTCTTTTAATATTAGTTATTGTACTAATTGTTAATATGACCACTCATCTCTGTCTTTTTGTTCATCACTCATTACCTATTTCACCAATCTCATTCACTAATCCCTTTCTCCTGAGTGAACTTTAAGACAATTGATCTGTTCACCTCTAGTCTCTCGTTAATCTGTGAATAACTCTCCTTGTTAACCCCCTTCATTTTATTGGCCAACTCTGTTTGGTTAATCTCAAATTCACTATTATGTTAATTCATCCCCAATTCCAATCACTTCACCGTTGCTGTCTACAAATCCAGCTACCTAGGCCCTGAACTCTGGAATTCCCTCTTGACATGGCCCTGTCTCCACACTTCTCTTTTCTCCTTTACTATCTATTTAAAACCCACTGCTTTGGCCTCACAATCTATCCCAATATCTCTTGAAGTGGAGACTCAACCGGGTGAGGGCAGAGTAAAAGAGGTGACAAACAAGCTACAAGGGGAATACACTGATATGAAGAGAGGCTAGTGTCACTGTTATTGTTGTGGATAGCATGCTCAGTGAGCTGGTCACAACACCAGTATGGGCTGAAAAGCATCGAGTGACCACCTGGAAGAGTAGTAAGTGTGGGCAAGTAGTGCAGGGGCCTCAAGTGGCTATCCCTGTCCCAAACAGTTGGATGCTGTTGGAAGAAATGGACTCTCAGGGGAAAGCAGCAACAGCCAAATTTGTGGTACCACACTTGGTTCTCCTGCACAGCAGGGGAGGACAAAGACTGGGAGAGCTTTAGTGATAGTGGACTCGATTGTAAGGAGAACTAACAGTGGGGTTCTGCAGCAGCAAACAAGGCTCTTGAATGGGATAACAGGGTGTAGAGCTGGATGAACGCAGCAGGCCAAGCAGCATCAGGGGAGCAGGAAAGCTGACGTTTTGGGCCTAGACCCTTCTTCGAAATGTCAGCTTTCCTGCTCCTCTGATGCTGCTTGGCCTGCTGTGTTCATCCAGCTCTACACCTTGCTATCTCAGATTCTCCAGCATCTGCAGTTCCTACTATCTCGAATGGGATGTTGCCTTCATGATGCCAGGATCAGGGGTGTCTCAGAGCGGCTGCAGGGCATTCTGAAGGTAGAGAGCAAACAACCAGTGATGATGGTCTCCATCGGTATCAATGGCATGGTTAAAGAGAGAAATGAAGTCCTGCAACAGGAATTTAGAGAGTTAGGTAATAGAAACAGAGGAAGACTACTAAGATTGTAATCTCCGGATGTGCCACTGAGTGCAGGAATAGGAAGATAGATCAGAAGAACGTGTGGCCGAAGGGATGGTGTGGGGGTTGCGGGGGTTGGTGCTTTAGATCACTGGGACAGTTTCTGGGCTAGGTGGAACCTGTACAGACTCGATAGGTTGTACCTAAACTGGAATGGGTCCAGTATCCTTGCTGGGAGGTTAGTTTGTGCCGTTGGGAAGGTTTCAAACTGATTTGTCAGGGGCACAGAGTAGATATAATGTCGGTAACAAGGTTCAGTCAGATATAGAAGGAATGCTAGGACAGTCCAACAGGTGAATAAGCATTGGGAGGATGGGAAAACTAAACTGTATCTATTTTAATGCAAGAAGCCTGACTGGTAACACAGATGAATTTAGGGCATTGATCAGCACGTGGGAATATGATATTGTTGCAGGAAGGACAAGAGTGGCAGCTCAATATTCCAAGGTATAGAAGTTTCAGGTGTGACAGGGGGGAACATAAGAGAGGTGGGGACATTGTGTTATTGAGAAAGGAGACCATCACTGCATAAATGAGGGAGGATGTCTTCAAATGAGTGATCTGGGTGGAACTTAGAAATAAAAAAAGGGGTAATTACACTACAGGCCTCCCAACAGTCAGAGGGAGATACAGGAGCAGATATGCAGGGAAACCATAGAGAGGTGTTAGAGGAGTAGCATTATAGTACCGGGGACTTTACCAACATTAACTGGGATTGCCTTAGGATTAGATGGGATGGAATTTTTAAAGTGCATCCGGGAGAGCCTTTTGTGCCAGTGCATAGACAGTCCCCCTTCCCTTTAATGTTTCTGGTTAAGATGGCGGCCGGAGTTCATAAGAACATAAGAACTAGGAGCAGGAGTAGGCCATCCGGCCCTTCGAGCCTGCTCCGCCATTCAATGAGATCATGGCTGATCTTTTCGTGGACTCAGATCCACTTACCCGCGTTCTCACCGTATCCCTTAATTCCTTTATTGTTCAAAAAAATATCTACCTTATCTTTAAAAACGTTTACTGAAGTAGGGTCAACTACTTCACCGGGCAAGGAATTCCATAGATTAACAACCCTCTGGGTGAAGAAGTTCCTTTTCAATTCAGTCCTAAATCTGCTCCCTCTAATCTTGAGGCTATGCCCTCTTGTCCTAGCTTCACCTGCCAGTGGAAACATCCTCTCTACTTCTATCTTATCTATTCCCTTCATAATTTTATATGTTTCTACAAGATCCCCCCTCAATCTTCTGAATTCCAATGAATATAATCCCAATCTACTCAGTCTCTCCTCATAAGCCAACCCCCTCAACTCCGGAATCAACCTAGTGAACTTCCTTTGCACCCCCTCCAGTGCCAATACATCCTTTCTCAAGTAAGGAGACAAAACTGCACACAGTACTCCAGGTGTGGCCTCACCAGCACCTTGTACAGCTGCAACATAACCTCTCTGCTTTTAATCTCAATCCCTTTAGCAATGAAGGACAAAATTCCAGTTGCCTTCCTAATTACTTGTTGTATCTGCAGACCTACCTTCTGTGATTCATGCACAAGGACACCCAGGTCCCTCTGCATAGCAGCATGCTGCAACTTTTTACCATTCAAGTAATAACCCTTTTTACTATTACTCCTACCAAAATGTATGACTTCACATTTATTTACATTGTATTCCATCTGCCAGACCTTTGCCCACTCACTCAATGTATCTATGTTCCTCTGCAAAGTTTCACAGTCCTCTGCACACTTTGCTCTGCCACTCATCTTAGTGTCATCTACAAACTTTGACACCCTACACGTGGTCCCCAACTCCAAATCATCTACAAAAATTGTAAATAATTGCGGTCCCAACACCGATCCCTGAAGCACACCACTAGTCACTGACTGCCAGCTAGAATAGCACTCATTTATCCCCACTCTTTGCTTCCTGTTAGTCAACCAATCCTCTAACCATGCTAATACTTTACCCTTAACGCCATGCATCCTTATCTTATGCAGTAGCCTTTTGTGCGGCACCTTGTCGAAGGCCTTTTGGAAATCTAGGTACACCACATCCACTGGGTCCCCATTGTCCACCTCGCTCGTAATGTCTTCATAGAATTCCAAAAGATTTGTCAAGCATGACCTGCCCTTTATGAACCCATGCTGCGTCTGCCCAACGGGACAATTTCTATCAAGATGCCTTGCTATTTCTTCCTTGATAATAGACTCAAGCATCTTCCCCACTACAGAGGTTAAGCTAGCCGGTCTATAATTCCCCATCTTTTGTCTACTTCCCTTTTTAAACAGTGGTGTCACATTTGCTGTTTTCCAATCTGCTGGGACTGCCCCAGAGTCCAGCGAATTTTGGAAAATTACTGCCAGTGCACCTGCTATTTCTCCCGCCATCTCTTTTAGTACCCTGGGATGCATTCCATCAGGGCCAGGAGACTTATTAATCCTTAGCTCCATTAGCTTGCCCAACACTATCTCTTCTCACTACCTCTGCTTGCCAGCTCCTTTTCCTCTTTCTTTTTCTCTATCTTGCTGCAGCTTTTCTCCCCCAACCCCCACAACTTGCAACTCCTTAAAGTACGCTACCTGGACGGAATGGAGAATGGGGTCCGAGAGCAACCTGGCGCGGGAGACGAGTCGTGGCTGACGTGGGGTTGGGGTTGGGGTTGGGGTTGGGGGGAGGTGGTACGGTGTGAGTCCCTGAAGCGAGTCGCGGGAGCAGAGCGAGCGCGGCCGGCGCTGGGGGCCGGGGCCTGGAGCTGGAGCAGAAGCAGAGCGAGCCCAGGCCAGGGGGATGAGGCTTGGGAGCGAGTCCAGAACAGAGACCGGCATGTGGAGGCAGCGAGGCCTTGTGTCCTGAAGCCTTGTGGGCATGGACTCAGTGAGAATGGACTATAACTGGAGTACTTTGAAGACACTCATTATTCTCACTCTTAAAAAACTCTACATTTCCATTTTCCTTTTACAATTTCAATTCTCTAACAGTCCTGTATCTAAGATAGCACCGGGAGGTGACTTTTGACTGCATTTATTTGCATGCATGCAACAGAAAAGGCTATTCTAGACCTTCGAGAGATGGGACAGTGCTAGACCTAATCCAAGGGAATGAAGTGAGGACAATGGTTTCATCCTGATATTGATCAGCTCGTAAATTGGGCAGAACAATGGCAGATGGAATTTAATCCTAATAAATGTGACCTGGTACATTTTGGGAGCTCTAATAAGAGAAGGATATACCTAATGATTGGTAGGTCCCTAGGGTGTACTGAGGAACAAAGGGGCCTTGGCATATAAGTCCATAGATTCCTGAAGGTGACAACACAGGCAGACAGGGTGGTGGAAAAGGCATATGGGATGCTTGCCTTCATTAGCTGAGGTGTAGAATATAGGAGGGAAGTCTCTTTGCAACTTTATAGAACATTGGTTAGGCCACAGATGGAATACTGTGCGCAGTTCCAGTCACCATACTAGTGGAAAGAGGTGATTGCATTGGAGAAGGTGCAGAGGAGACTTGCCAGGATGTTGCCTGGGCTGGAAAGTGTAAGTTATGAGGAGTGACTGCGGGTAGGTTGGGTTTGTTTTCCCTGGAGCAGACTGAGGCGGCTGTTGATTGAGATATGCAAAATTATGAGAGGTATGGACAGAGTAGATCGCAAGAATCTCTTCCCCATGGCAGACATGTCTAACAGCAGAGGACATAGGTTTAAAGTGAAGAGTAAGAGGGAATCTGAGGAAAAATATTTTCACGCAGATGGTGGTAGAAATATGGAACGTGCTGCCTGAGAGGGTTGTGGAGGCAGGCACTCTCACAATGTTTAAGAAGCATCTGGAGGGCATAGTGGGCTATGGACCAAGTGCAGGTAAATGGGATTAGTGTAGTTTGAGTTTTGTTAGTCAGTATAGACATGATGGGCCAAAGGGCCTGTTTCTATGCAGTATGACTCTGAGGCACCAACAAGAGATTAAGTCTTTAGCAGGAGAGTACAGTGGGTAATGATCCTATCACTGGGCCAGCTGCTCCAGGTTTAAAACTTGACACCACAGAAGGTGCATGCAATGCTATTTGGGGAGGCGATGGCCTAGTGGTGTTATCACTGAACCACTCCAGAGACCCAGGTAATATTCTGGGGACCTGGGTTCAAATCCTGACACAGCAGATGGTGGAATTTGAATTCAGTTTAAAAAAATCTGGAATTGAGAGTCTGATGATGACCGTGAATCCATTGCCAATTGTTGGAAAAACCCATCTGGTTCACTAATGTCCATCAGGGAAGGGAACTGCCATCCTTACCTGGTCTGGCCTACATGTGACTCCAGACCCACAACAATGTAGTTGACTCTCAATTAGGGGGCAATTAGGGATGAGCAATAAATGCTGACCTAGCCAGCAATGCCCTCATCCCATGAATGAATGAAAAAAAAATTATTCTATATATAAATCACCCAAACATCTCAATTAGATTTAAGTCTGTAACTGACTTCTGGGTATCTGTTATTCAATGTATAAACCATCCATAGCTCCTCGATTATATTCCAGTCTATAGTTCACTCCTGGGTATCTGTTATTCTCTATATAAACCACCTGAACACCTCAATTATATTCCACTCTGTAATTCACTTCTGGGTATCTGTTATTCTACACATAAGCTACACAGAATCCTTCAATTATATTCTAATCTATAATTCACTCCCGGGTATCTGATATTCTGTATATCAACCACCTTGAACCCCTCAATTAGATTCCAGTCTGTAACTCACTCCCGGGTATCTGCTATTCTATAATATAAACCACTGCAAACATCTCAATTAGATTCCAGTCTGTAACTCCTTCTGGGGACCATCTGCTGTATCTAGCTGTGCTGTGTGTCAGCTGATCAAGTGAGCTTTCACTTCCACAGAAGCTTATGCCAAACCAGCAGCTGCCCAGATGTTGAAGCGTGCCCTTTTTCACTCAGATTTCTTGCTATGTGGCCAGTGCCAAACAACGTGTGGAAGGATACTCAACAAAATCAAGTGGGAATTTGATGAGCAGATCTAGAGCTTTGGTCTCAGTGAATGACGAGATGATGTAGGATTTATTTATTTCTGTAAAATGAAGAGAGTAGGATTAGCAAGTGTTTAGACTGTAGAATTGATTGAATATAAATACAAGGTTGTTCTTTCTTTCAGCCCCACGCTGAGTTACTGCAGAGGAGCTGAAGCTTGGGATAACAACCTGCTACACAGGTCAGTGATCGGAGAACATGACAGCGAAAGAGTGGCTGAAAGAGCGGGCCTGTGCTACCATCTTTGCAACACATGTTGACGTGGATCTGAGTAGTATTATCTGGAATTACACACAGAGTGCACCGTCAGATACAGGTCACACAACCCCGACTGGTCAACTCATCACACCATTCTCCTGGCTGAGAATTTGAACAGAAAGGGCGGTGAATCTGTGGGATCCACTGCCCCAGAGTGCAGAACTGAACAAATTAAAAGAGGAGATGGACGGGTTTTTAATTGGCGATGGGTTAAAGAGAAGCAGGCAGGAAAGTGGAGTCGAGGCCGAGGTGAGGTCAGCCATGGTCGTATTAAATGGTGTAGCAGGCCTGAGGGGCTGAATGGCCTACTCCTGGTTCTTACGTCCAGCTTTTCCTAACCCTTTCAGCAAATTTGCGTGAGTTACATTCCCATGCCGAGCGTGTGTTACAATGGCAATCAGTTTGATGGCTTCCAGCAAACATTGTGTCTGGGTGACCATCTCTCCCCGTTATACAGAGTGTGCCGTCCAACCTTTAGGTCTTGCCATGTCAGAGCACAGTTTCTACTTCATGTTAATGTTATTTTATTGGATTTTTTAATCAGATGAATGAACATTTGGCCCACAAAGAGCTTTGCATGGCTAAGCAGATTTGCTAAAGAGGAAGTCAAGAACAGGGGAGTTTTCCTTCCTCGGTTTGGAGCCTCCCCTTCTACACATCTCGACCTCTCACCTCCATGGCTCCCTGAAGCATTAAGTCCTGCATTCTCACCACTCTCTTGGTCAAAGGGTTTCTCCTGAATATCCTCTTGGATTTATCACCGACTCCCTTCTGTTTTGTGATGCAAGCGGAAGTCTTTTAACCACCTCGGCCCTTTCATTACTAAGGGCTTTGAGGCACAGTGGGTAACTTTGCTGCCCTGTGTTGGGGCCTTGCTAACCCAAGCCTAACGGTCACACGTCCTGCAGAGCCTCCCAACACAGGCCAGTGGCAGGCGCTGAGAGCTGGAGAGAGTCCTGGTCACCTACATAGCGGGAAAACATTGGAGCCGCTACCATCACTATTGGCAACTCCAGGTGACCACATGCATTGGAAAGGTGCAACTTGGATTCTCTGAGAGACCCGTAACATTGACTATATTTCATTACCTTAACAACCTCTATCAGGAGGTTCCTCGGTCTTCCCATTTTGAGAGACAAGAGCCTCAGACTTTGCCATGGATTTCTAACTCTCAGTTCCAAAATCAGAACCACTTGGGATCCAGCTGTCTACGCACAGTTCCTCACTGGGAACCAGTGCTCTGGATCTCCTGTCAGGGCAGAACTGACAAACTGAACTGCTTCCTGCAGACAGCATAGGGATAGCTTACTGTTAGCCACTTCAAAAGACTGGAACTTCACAGGCTGAATGTAATTGACCAGGCTGGACATCTCTTCATACGCTGTCGCTTCCTGCCCAGCAGTGCCCTGTTAGAAAGGAACACATAGACATCGCTCAATTACAAACACTGCCAGTCCAAGTAGGGATCACTCTGAAGTTAAAACCTAAAGCTATAAAAGGGAGCACAGCGATTAAATTGCTAGGCATAGGAACCCTGAGCTAAAGCCAAGAGGCACGTGTTTAAATCCCACCTCTGGAAAGTCCTTGGCCTATGATGTTAATCGTTAATAATCATCATGAAACTACCACATAAAAACTACTAAAACCCTGCCTGGCACAGGGACAGGAAATCCTTCAAGCCCGTTCCTGGTTTCCTGGTTCGATTCCACCCTCAGGCTACTGTCTGTGTGGAGTTTGCACGTTCTCCCTGTGTCTGCGTGGGGTTTCCTCCGGTTTCCTCCCACAGTCCAAAGATGTGCAGGCTAGGTGGATTGGCCATGCTAAATTGCCCGTAGTGTTCAGGGATGTGCGGGTTAGATGGACTAGCCATGGGGAATGCAGGGTTACAGGGATAGGGTTGGAGGTGTCTGGGTGGGACGCACTTCGGAGGGTCGGTGTGGACTCGATGGGCTGAACGGCCTGCTTCCACATTGCAGGGATTTTATGATTTGGCTGACAGGTGATGGACTTTCTCAACTAGCTTCTCAAAAGGTCTCGCAAGTCATCCAGTTCAAGGACAATTGGGGAGGGGAAATAAATACTGCTGGTGAAGCTCAAGCCCAAAAATAAATTTTGAAGAAAGCAAAACTAGGCACTTCCTAACTCCATTCCCTGGAGTGAATATTTGACTTGGGCCAACACCATGCAGGGGAAATATATGCATCACATCAGATGCAACACCTTCATCCCACCCAACCTCGCTGTACCACATCAATAAAACTCATCAAGTTCATCAAACATGATTTGTCTTTAACAAATTTACACTGGTTTTCCTTAAGTAAAGTATACATGGCCAAGTAACTGTTAATTCTGTTCCAAATTATCACTTCTCAAAGCTTGCCTATCACTAATGATAAACTAAGACAACAAGGTGCAAGGCTGGATGAACACAGCAGGCCAAGCAGCAT